CATGCGTCCTATAGCAAAAACCTCTCCAAAAAAAAAAAAAAAAATGGGGGAAGGGGGCAGATCATATAAACGTATATGCCGTTGTGGCTTTTACCCTGAACAAAAATGGGAGCTCTGGAGCAGAGGAGTGACATACCTGATGCGTCTGGTGTTCTGTGATTGGATACAGGGAAGGGGAGGCAGGGATGGAAGTGAGCAGCAACAGGAGGCAGAAATCCGGTGACAGTTGATGGTGGCTTGGAAGAGGGTGGATGAAAGTGGATGGCGAGAAGCAGCCTAGCTTTTTTTTTTAGAGGTTTTTGCTATAGGGCACGTGTGCTCGCCAGACAGAGACAGACAGAAAGCAAGAAACGGCCCCACAGCAATCCCTTCTCCTCCTTTCTCTTCTTGGGATCTTGGGCACTCACGCACACGCACCCGGCGTGAGTTTTAAGCCACTGGGTCTGGGACGCGAACAGCTGTCGACTACATGGGAGTCCAGCGACATAGCCATTAGGCTAACTGCTGGCCCCGCTGCCTGGTTTTTGATTGCTTTGTGAGGATAGAAACAACAGGATTTTTTCAAGGATTGGAAAAGGGGTGTGAGAGAAAGGAGTCAAGGATGCCACAGATTTTTGGCTTGAGTAATGGAAGGCAGGTGAGACAGAGACAGGTAGCTGAGAGAGAGGAGGCTGTGGGACAAGCAGCTGTGGGGTCGGGGATGTGGCTCTTGAGAGGCTTAAGGCTTTCGGGAAGGAAAAGGGACGTGGCAGCTGGGTGCATGGCTGGAGGCAAAAACTTGCATGTCGTCAGCATAGGGGTAGCATGCATTCTGTGAGTCGGGGTGGGGTCTCTAAGGGGGGGGTTAAGATAGGCAAGAGGAAGTTGGGTAGAACGGGGAAAGCGAAGCCACGTGAAGAATCTCTAGGGAGTGGGAGCAGTCAACTAGGCGGAGCGATGCTGAGAGGTAAAGAAGGGTGGCTGGATTTTGGCCCAGGGTCCTGGGTGGGGCCGTGAAGAGTGGAGTCAGAGGCTGGGATGGTGGTGGGGGTCACCTCCTCGAAGCAGACCCTGCTCTTCCTCCCCACCCCAGGAACACTCTATCAAGGTTCTGGAGCTGATCTCTACCATCTGGGACACGGAGCTGCACGTGGCGGGCCTCAGACTCCTCAACAACCTCCCACTGCCCGACTACGTGCACCCACAGCTGCGGCGCGTGATGCCTGCCTTGATGGAGATCCTGCAGTCGGACTACATCCTGGCACAGGTGCCGGGGGAGCGCGGCCCAGGCCCTGTCCTGACCAGCCCCGCCGGAGCGCCTCCAGGGGAGGGCGGAGGTTCGTGTCTCCCTGCTCAGGCCGGGACTCTCCTGCTTTCTCATGCTTTACTCTCTCCCTTACTCAGGTTCAAGCCGTACGACTGCTGAGCTATCTGGCACAGAAGAATGACCTTCTCTACGACATTCTTAACTGCCAGGTGAGAAAGGACCCGAGGAGAGGCTGATGGATGACAACTCAGGGCTGAGGAGGGAAGAACCGTGGCTTCTCCAGACAGACATCTTCCTGATCAATTGTCCTTCCTCTTCCTGCCTCTGCACTAGAGGCATTGAAAATCTTCTCTCTTCTACTCCCCTAAGAATGAAAATCCAATTTGTTCAGACGGGACTTTTTTTTAAGGGGCTTTCTGAGCTCTGAGAGTTAAGAACACAGGAGCTAGAATAAAATTTAATGTTGAGGTGCCAGCAGGTGGCGTGGTGGTTGAGGTGCTGGACTCCCACATAGCCGACCATGTTTTGAGTCCTGGACCTGGCAGCTTGCTTTCTCACTTTCCCGCTCTCTCCCTCTCTCTTTCTAATCACATTTAAAAATGATAATAATAATAAATAAAAAATTTTGAAAAGGTTAATGTATATATACTTTTTAAAAATTATTTATTCAATTTTACTTACTATTTTTTTTAATTTGACCAGAGAGAGAAAGGAAAAATGAGAAAGCAAACTGACAGGTCAAGGACGTGAACTGTGGTCAGCCGCGTGGGGTTCCAGCACCTCAACCACCATGCCACCTGCTGGTCCCTAATGTAGATATTTTAATAGTAAGGACCAAAAGCATTCTTAGGGATGGGAAGACTACTGTGTAATCATCAGTGGTTCAGTTCACCAGGATAAAGCAACTTTAAACCTATATGTAACTAATAACATAATCTCAAAATACGTATGGCAAAACTTGATGGAATTATAAGGAGAAATGAACAAATCACCATTACTATTTTTTTTTTAAGGTTTTTGCCATAGGGCACATGCCCTTGCCAGGGAGAGACAGTGAGGGGAAAAATGAAATATCACCCCATGGAGGGATGGCCATGCTGCAGTCCCTTTTCCATTTTCCTCCTGGGATTTTGGGCACACACACACACACACACACACAC